AAAACCATAAGCACAAATAAGAATGATAGTTAATCACGAAAAAGGTGGACATTTTCAATGCATATTCACATTAATGCTTATCATTAATCAAACGGAGTCAACCAGTAGAACACAGTATTATCATAAAGTCATTAGTAAAACAATATTATATATATATATATATTAGTTACATGAAAGCAAATTTTTAAATTCTGTTACATATTTATTATTATGAGTAAATGCGCGGCTTACAGCATTCTACTAACCAAACCTCTATGATTGATTTATGCATAATATTTATTTGTAGAAGAGTAGAGCATAACTTCATACATTTATTGCTATTTATGGATTCAGATAGAGCAAGAACAACAGTCTTTGAAGAATAAAATGGTACCATCATTTATATCGTCGGCTTCTCATCAGCTGCTGACACAGCCCAAAGACATTATTAAGTTTATATGCAGAAACAATTTTGACATACTTTCACAGAGTTCATTTTTAGACAAAAAATCAATGTCTGCAACAGTGCTAATAATAATAATAATCACTTTATCCCAAATAATAACACTAATACACAATCCAACCTTTCGGCGTTGCGTAATCCGATGAAAGAGAGGATGAAAACTGATAAGCGCTTCTTTCTGAATGCATAAATCGGGTTGCAGGCGCTGGATGGAGATTGCTTCAGCAGACTTAAGGAGAATTGAACTCTTTTGCTAACTGATAATTTTGAACGACCTTGCGACTTTCACCTCATGATCCACGTCAAGGACATACCTGGCTATGACATTGTTAAAAGCATTTGTTTCCTTTGGACATACGCTTTTTGTTACATGTTCAAAAAATCAGAGGTATCCCTTCTTTCTGCCCTTCCAAAGTAACTGCTCCCGCAGATACATCTCAATTTGTATACACAATTGGATTTAACATGAGAAGGATATCTGTTGACTTTTCATTGCACCAAAGAGCATGTTGTCCGATAGACGGGAACCAACTTAGCTGCAGGATTCTATTGTGTATGAGTATTATTGTTAGGGATATAGTAATTATCATTAGCATTGTATGCATATGTTGTCTGATTGACTTTTTAATTGGTTGGAGGACTTTATCATGAACTGATATAGGTTGGAAAACCATTGGAAAGCCTAGGAGTACTGGACAGCTGTTTCATTCTATTTTGGAACCTTTCATCAGTACGCACCCACCAGGGTTCGAACACTGGACCTCCTAGTTACAAGGCGAGTTTGTAGACCATTAGGCCACTGAGACTGGATCCTGGGTTCGAACCCCGGTAGGCGCGTACTGCTGAAGAGTTCCAAACTAGGTCGAAACAGCTCTCCAGTACTTTGAGGTTTTCTAATGGTTATCTAACTGATGTCAATTAATGATAGAATCCTCCAACTAATCAAACAAATCCCTACATACCAATATTTCAAAATGATTGATTTTTGTCTAGAAATGAACTCTGTGCAAGTGTGTTAAAATTGTTTCTGCAGATAAAGTTAATATCTTTGGGCTGTGTCAGCAGCTGATGAGAAGCCAACGAAATAAATGATGGTACTATTATATTCTTCAAAAACTGTTGTTCTTGCTTTATTGAAATAATGCATAACTTTTTGCCTATAAGTTGGCGTCTACATTTCAATCAACGATAGACAAATTCATATAACATACCCTATGACAATAAATGAAGATCCACAATGAAACTGAAAGAAAAAATGGTAAATTAGAGCAGTAAGGCAGGTCGATAATGTCGAGTGGCTTTCTTGATATTGTAATAAAGAAGGAAATAATGTTAATGTATTACTATGGTGAAATGTTACGTATAAAAATCACTTTTTTCCAATGTCGAATTTGCAATAAATAATTACATTGAACTGCTACTCGCTCGTGGAGAAAATTCTGTTAGGGCAAATAGCAAACTTTAAATCATGCAAGATTAATCGATTCACTAACAAGAAAATTACCTAGAAATGATCCCATCAAATATTTGCATTTTCCAAGTATTAGCAGAATCCTCTGTGACCGGCAAGTCGGTTTTGTCTTCTCTTGACTCTTTGCACTGCAGCTCTCCTGAACCATCATCATTATCACCACCACCACCACCACCACCAACATCATCATCGTCATCATCATCATCAAAAGGATTAAGTGAACGTTCAACATTCTTCGAATTTACTATTTTACTTTTTAAGGCTTCAATTGCATCAGATGTATACGTTTTGTTTAAACTGCTTTCAAAGGATAAAGTGCGTTGCAATGCAAAGACAATTAAGTTATGGGTAAGTTCTGACTGACGACGCTTCATGACGGTTTCCAAACCAGTCCGTGTAATTTGGCAGAACTCTAGAACAAATCTAATCAGTTGCGACAAAAACAAAAAACACAAAAGCTTGTGAATTTAATTTGACACATATAAACTGAATGAAAAATGAATAAAACTAAAAAGAAACAGTAAAACTATGTACAGTAAAGCTCAATGGTATTCCAAAAACAGAAAAATTACTAACACCAATTCATCGATAATAATAAGATAATAGAACGACACGCCTTTTCTCAACGTAGACCTTTTCAGAAGTTGTCATACTCCAGCATACCGCACAAACAAAAATAGTGGAAAATAAAAAAGGGAAATATAATGAACGGAAATGCACGGCGAAAACAATACTTAGGTGGAAAATAATTAGAAATTATTGGATCAAGGAGTGAGTGCATCATTGCATTGAGAGCAGTTTTGAACCATACAACCAACAGTCCCAAGCATACGGTTTTAGCCTCTAAAAGAGGTCACTAACGATGCCAGCGCCATCCCACATGACTGGCTTACACCAACACTCAAAGACCATTTCTCACTTTTTCCAGCCCGATCACATGTCACCTAACATTGCTCGACGACGAAGACGATCGCTTGACTTCCATAACACATATTCTAGCTCATCTCACTCAACCGACACAGTTTCACGACTTCACTGATTGACTCTCTCTCTCTCTCGTCACCCAACATCCTTCGCCTAACTTCAATCTTATTCACTGTATGATGACACCACTTTACATGACAGATACAAGGAAATTACCTATGGTCAAAGACAACTAATCTCTTCAAGTCTTCCACGTCCGGTGCCTATTTATCACACTCATAAAGAGCCAATTGAACCACTGAGCAGTAAATGCGTCTCTCTGTCGATAGCCGAATATCATGTCTGTGCGAGAGATGATGTAAGTTGGTGAATGCCACACGAGCCTTCGGTATCAATCCTGACATTTCGTTAACAATCAATCCCATTAGGACTTATGCAACTTCTCACATAGGTGAGGCGGTCAACACACTTAACCACTACACACACTCCCTATCTCTAACATGCGAGTCAGAGTGGTGCGGTGCAGGCAAGTTCTGCAGCATTTGCGTTTTCAACTCTTTATACGATATGTATTGCTGACTGATAACTGAATGTAACATCAGATTAGAACTTTTCCCAACTATTCACTCACGTTTTCTAGTATCTTTCAATTTACCATAGTTTTGCGTTCTTACTTACGTGTAAAATTCTAATAATCTGAATTGAAATGCTGTTAATCCTTTCAACCCTTTCGTTGTTTCTTAGTCTTTTCCGTCAACTTATTCACTAAACCACTTCACTTTGCATCTGGTAGCAGTCCATATACTGATAAATTCAATAAACTTATAATTACCTCGTGCGTCGGTGGCGCAGAGGTAGGATGCTTACTAGCCACGCTTCACGTGGTCCAGGGTTCGATCCTCAGCCGATGCACTCCCAAACCTCGCTTAGCTGGTAGTAGGCCTGGCAAAGGGTGAAGGTTGAGCGTGAGACTGACAATCCTACCTCGTAAAAAATGAGACCACTGCTACGGAAACTTTAAAGCTGAAGAAGCTTGAAGCCTTATGTTGCACTGGGAACGCAAAGGAATAAAATAGCAATAATAATAAATAATAATGACCTCCACTTCATCAAGTAATTATGTAATCCCTTGCTTGTTCTAGAAACTGTTTGTCAGTGACTTCCTTAATCCTAAACTACTGTGGCCAGCATGAACGAGTGATCAACAGCAGAATCATATGTTTGTAAATAATGAAAATACAACTTCATATCCTTAGGAAAATGACTTCATCGAAAATACAATTTCCTTCGCCTAACTTCCTTCTGTTTGCAATAAGGCTATCGGTATCCATCAACTTAGAATTCACTTTAGAATAGGAAAAAGAAAGTACTTAGTACTGACTTCGAGTTGAATTAATCGTATGAAATTCCCAATTATATATATATATATATATATATATATATATGTATATATATATATAGTGTAAGCAGGATTTCATCATGAGCTGACATCAGTTAGAGAACCACTGAAAAACCTGGGAGTACTGGACAGCTGTTTTGTCCTAGTTTGGGACTTTTCAGCAGTACGCGCCCACCGGGATTCGAACCCAGGACCTTCTGGCTACAAGGCGAGCTCGTAGACCATTGAGCCACTGGGACCCGATCCAATGGTCCTTGAATTCTAACTTCTGCCAATTCACGACATAGCGCAGGTTGAAGATGAGACAGTAACTCATCAAAGAAGACATTGCGAAATGGTCGCGCTATGTCGTGAATTGGCAGAAGTTAGAATTCAAGGACCATTGGATCGGGTCCCAGTGGCTCAATGGTCTACGAGCTCGCCTTGTAACCAGAAGGTCCTGGGTTCGAGTCCCGGTGGGCGCGTACTGCTGAAGAGTCCCAAACTAGGACAAAACAGCTGTCCAGTACTCCCAGGTTTTCCAGTGGTTCTCTAAGTGATGTCAGCTCATGATGAAATCCTGCATACAATTAAACAAAATCCCTACCAAACCAATACTTGAAAATATATATATATATATACGTAGGATTTAATTTCACTCAAAGAAGCATCAGTTATTTTTTATGTTAAATTTATAAAGCATTTATAAAGGACCTTTGAATTATCTCCATGAAGAAGAGGAACACTGAATTAGTCCTTTAAAATAACACTACTGCAACGCTTACCTTTCAGTCACCAACCAAGAAGGAGGAAACACTGAAGTAAATAAGCGTTCCAAAGGGACCAAATTTGTCCGTAACCAGTTATATCTTTGATCAATCTTGTCCAACCAAGCAGCAGTTTGAGTTGGATCAAACAATTCCTTGTATTCAGTTAAATGATGGCAGATGAACCAATCTAAGATATCCGAACTGACATGCAGATTCTTAGGGAGGAGATCAACAAGTTCGCAAATAGAGAAAATCAATTCCTTGTTGTCCGTCACAGTTTTAGTTGCCTGGTATTGTAGTCAAATACAGAAGAGATTGAACAACAATCCTTAATATTATTGACTACATACAAAAGAATAGAATGAAAATCGTAGACATTAACAGATATATAGTTGACACACACACACGCACATATTTGATAAGGATGTTCATGACATGGTCTGTCGGGAAAACATTAGTACTTCAAAAACAGCTTTCACTTTTCAAACCGATTGGGGAACTTTTCAGTTTAACCTTGGGAAATTCAGCCTAAGATTGACTTTAGTCGTAGCATAATTTAATAATGAAACTATAAAACCAAAGGTACAACAGATAAACCGCTCAAATTCTCCGGAAAGCAGCAGATGGAATAATTTTAATTCGAAGTGAGATAAGATTCATCCAAACCAAAACTGAAGTAAGAAACATGTGAATTTTGAGTCTATTTCAAGAGAAAATATATGGGAAAATCCCGCTACTCTAAGAGTTGATCATGAAATTAAAAACCTACAGCAACTTTAAAATACTTCGATGGAGCAATCGACACTTAACAGACATTCATATATCATGATGTATTATAACTGGTTTTAGCTGACGAAAATCAGATAAATACTTCGCATCCGTATCGAGATTTCTTCACACACACACCATGACTACAAGATATGAAAAGTGATCAACATCCGCAAAACAATTCACTACTTAAAATAAGGTGTGATTCCAATACGAATCGGATCTGAAGAAAGTATTTTGTACTTGACAGGTATGAAAAGCATCGAAAGCAATCCTGTCATAATTCAGCATTTAAAAACGAATATGTCCATCCTCTTTTTGATGACCGTACATTCAATGGAATTCCTACAAATGCATAACTCTGATTTCAGAGTAAACTTACAACTGTATATTTTTATTTCTTTTTCTGAATACCAATCAGCGATTTTTTTCTATCCCAGAAATATTCAAGAAAAAATAGTACATTTGTGGTGTGTGCTACTGATAAGATTTATCAGTAGTCTTTAGAAAGATGTTCATCGGCATAAAAACATCATATAGGAGGGAGACATATTTGATGTCAGAGAAAACAAATGATACAACGCTATGGAGATACATGGGAGATATGAAAGGAGCACAAAGAAACACATTATGAAGGAAGACCAGAAGTACCACAACACGGAAGATCCGTGCAAGTGGAGCTTTGAAGATAAGGTGTACATAATTCCACTATATAGAGATACCGAATTGCAAGTAAACATTCCTTTACCAAGTCTTCGTCAATTACCGTTACACCATCAGCTAGTAAACTAGGATTATTAAGAACGATGCAAAAACACAAATTCCAGTATTTTAAGCAGTGCTAAGAAAGTAGAGCATTCAACACAAATAAATGTAATCGAAAATGAGCACGTCTAATATCACGATAAAACGTTTCTAAATAAACAACGATAAAGCAGTCAAATAATGTGTAATGTGACGGAATTGAGACAGACCTAAATAACCAAACCAGATTCTGAACTAAACAAAACTACTTCTTCCACGCATCTGTGTAAGTTTAACTTATTAAATTGTGTGGTAAAACTAATGCAATCTCGACTAGTTTTACTAGCCGGTCCTAAGCCCTAATAGGAGAAAGACTGGGCGTGAGGCAAACCGTTTATCACAACTGAAAGTTTAGGAAACAGAAAACATAAACTTTCTCTCCCATACAATGAGAATCCCTCTTCACTAGGGTCATGACAGCAAGAGTTAACTCAGCAGGCAGGAAAGTTACATTCATACAATGCTACGCATTTACACAAAACTGGAAGTAATAATGAACAGAACCACTGTCAGATGGTGGCATCAAATTTCTAATGAGTGATATGAATGCAAATCAAACTGTAAGCAGACGACGCAGGAAGAAAACTGATCGAAGGTCAAGAGGTGCTCAGTGAACAGAGTGAGGACAGAAAACGCTTTGCAGACTTCTTTGCGTTTAATTATTTAGTGACTGGAGGCAGTATGTACAAGCAGAAGGGTATTCACAAGGTGAAGTGGGTGATACCAGATAGGCATGCTAGAAATCAGACAGACTTCATCTCAGTCTTAGGAAAGTACAGACAGGAACAGATGTAGGCTCATTAATATATATGTGTAAAACGTGGGCACTGTAGCAGTATGCAATATCATATTTATTCGTTTAATGCATAGGGTAAGGAATGAATGGATAATATTGATAAATAACAATACTAATACTCTAAAACAATAGATAATTAAACATCATTATCAAGTGTATAACGAATACGGATAACTGGATATAACTCAAAACAACTGAAAATGACAGCCGCTTTCTCACCGCAAGTAACAGCTTCAGTTTCTTCATCAAGCGATCAGCTAGAACTGTATGAATAGTGTCCAGCTCTTTGGATAATCCCGCAACAGATGGAACAGAACCATAGGCTGTGAGCATAGGTTGCAATAAACGTTGAACTTGGGCCAGTAAATTAGACACTTCCGCTAAGAAAGATGGTGCAATTTTCTGAAATTTCATTTGATCGGGTGAACAGTTTTCATTCCTGAAAGCTTTATGTTAAAAAAATGAATTACTCAAATTAGTATAAAGCCTTTTGAATAAGTCACTTTAAGAAAGTATGAAATCTTAGATAAAGAAAATTTAACAAGTCAAGTAACCGTATGTATGAATTGTATGGAAGAAAGAGGCGCATCACTGTTATTTATCATTATCAGTCAAGCTTAAAAACTACAATTAAATATTCATTTGATCAATAATACCTATTTTACGCTTCATTGATAAAGTAATCTGAAAACTCTCGTGAAATACACAAATGAGGTTCATTAAGCTATAATGCGATGGATTGTAACGTTCAAACCAGCGCTGGTGAAGTGGGACTTTACATCTGAATCTATCATTTAGAAGTCCAAAAGAAAAATGCCGTCATAAATAAGAAATTCAAACTTTTGGTCGACTGTACTAGGTGTCATGCATACAAAACTTTCAAGCAAGAATCTTAATCCATTAACCACAAATTTTTTTAGAATGGCTGATAACATGACGGGTGATTTATATCATAACTCTATATACAATTTCAAATCAACTACCAAATGCTCGACAGTGTGAAATCTATTTGCACTGTAATGAAAGATGAGCTTTATTTTGAATTATACAAGCCTGATGTAGTTCAATCAACTAAACAGCTCATTATTATTATTGTTCCCTTGAGTTCCTAGTGGAACATAGGGCTTCAACTGCACATCTCCACTTGCTTCTGTCCTCTGCTGTACTTTTCACCTGCATCCATGTTAGTCCATACTGCTTCAACTTCTCTTCACACGATCTCCTCCATGTCACCCTTGGACGTCCCATTTGCCGCTCCCCTTTCCAGTTCCAATCGAGGGCCTGACGCGCGATGTCACTCAGCGGCCTCCTCAGCGAGTGTCCAATCCATCTCCACTTTCTCCTGCATATTTGTTGAGCGATTGGTTCTTGTTTTGTTTGTTCCCATAGTTTCTTGTTGGTGATTCTTTCCGGCCATCTGATCTTGAGTAAAGAACTAAGACAGTTGTTGATAAAGGTCTGCAACCTGTTGAAAATAGTCTTTGTGACCCACCAAGTTTCTGATCCATCCGTATAGAAGAACTGACTGACTTGACGTTTGTATTGAAAATCCGAATTTTGTTGTTGATGCTGAGTTGAGTGACGAAGATTTCCAGATTGGTTTCAGGTTGATGAATGTGTTTCTCGCCTTCCCGATTCTCGATTTGACATCCTTGTCCGTTCCTCCTGTAGTTGACACAATGCTCCCTAGATAAGCGAATGAAGTAACCTCTTTCAAATTCCTTCCGTTGATGGTGATTGGTGCTGGATGTTGCTGCTGTCGTTGTTGTTGTTGTTGGTTGGTTATTTTCATAACCTCCGCCTTGTCTATGTTCACCTGGAGTCCTTTCTTCGCTGCTTCTTCGACCAGTTTGTCGGTTTTCGCTTGTAGGTCTTCGATTTTGTGTGACATCAAACATAAATGATCCGCGATATTCAGGTCTTCTAGGTTCTTCACGTCGGTCCAGGATATCCCTGTCTTCTCGTTTCCCACTGTCTGACGCATAATCCAGTCCACCACAATTAGGAATATCATTGGTGATAATCCTAATTCTCACCAGCATCACCGGGCTAACTCGTGATGGAATTCTATAACAAAAACAAGACGACTGTTTGGCATTTGACAGCCTGTACTAATTGTGTTGCATGTGGGATGACTGAAGACCTATTAAAAGATAAGTTCACTCACTAGATGGCAGGCTATTTCGCATATCTCCATGAATACGAAACACAAACTCTGAAAACGAAACCACAAGGAAGTTATAGATTTCTAACAGAATAGTCTTCGCAACATTGTTCGTTTACAATGGAACTGTAGATTGACCATTGTTCAAACTGAACAGAGAGTTTTAGAGAGAGAGAGAGAAAAGTCAATTGACGTGGTCGTGGGTCTGCACAGACCGAGAAATCCACAATTTGTGACACACCTCTCGGAATACCGAAACGTAATATGTCATTCAAAGTGGGATTAGTCCTTACAAACCTAAAGTAACTAAATTACGACAACACTGTTAGATGAAATCTCTGACTGTTGGCTTGGGTTGTAAAAGATGGTTACAGCCTTCATATTTTAACACACTTCACCAATCCGTCCACTTCTTGTCTATTCGTTAATTGATAATTTCGATCACTGACAGATTTTGCTCAAAAACCGATTGATTATTTTACTTACTGTTGGATTTAGCTCTCCATTTCCATGTGTCATGTGCATATTACTTTGATGATATTAGATGGTCGGAGGCAATCGGCTGGAAGCCTTTGACCCAGGTTTCGTGCTAGTTGGCACTCGTCAGCAACGCGATGTGGCCACCATTCTAGGTAGCTCGCCATCATGGTTGGAGGCCAACGGCAGGAAGACCAGGACCAGGAATGGTGGCCACATTGCAAAGCTGACTGGTAGAATTCAATCTGCACCGAAGAAAGGACTAGACACATCACACTAGTTACTAGTGTCGAATCAAAGCATATTACTTTGCTGATTGTCAAATGCTGTTAATATTTTCTCCTAAGAAATATTATTGATCACAACTTTCTTTCTATTCTGGTCGTAATTTACCTAAAGTACTGCCTAAACAATAAACTTGCTAACCTTAACACCGGACTTCTGCAATTAATCACATGTTCCTCTTAATAATGTGGTTATCACCACCAATAAGTTAACACACACAAACAAACAAATGCAGATCATACTCAAACATCTAACAAAATCTATTTGATAAAATTACCAGGACCAACTTCAGAAAATGGATTCTGAGAATTGATATGCACGTCATCAGTTTTCGCAGGAAGTGTTGAATCACTCACTGAGCTTTGTATGCCAAGTAATTCGTTGAGACGGTCGATAGCGTTGACGATAAGTATCAAATTATTTAGAGCAGTTATTGAAACAGTTAAGTTACGTTTGGCTTGGTCGAATTGTTGTATATCTCTAGTTATCTCTTGTACCATATCCTCTGATCTTGTCGCTCGGTCTTGCACATCCTGTATTCTGTCAAATGAATAGCAAAACTAACATTTTTCAGATTTAAACAGAAACAATAATTAAAAGGCAAAATTAATGAGGAATATAAAAACTAATAACACGAAAAGATAACGATCATACTTTAAGTGAGCAAGGCAAGGTAATATTGATTTATTTTAATCCTAGCCAGTTTTATATCTAATGCAATATATTAAGATTTATACTTAAGGAGATTTCACTCGGACGTTCTGAAAAGTTGTGCCAAGTTATAATTATATTAGTTGAATTAACACAAAATAATTATCTTTATTGGATTTACTAAAACAGCAGGCTATCTCCTCTTGAATCCCGCCGACTAAAAGGAAAGGAAATTACTCTCTGAACCAGAGAGCCAACTATAAACGTTTTAGGAGGCTAGATTCCATTCTAATATATACATACTAATTGGCCTCAGTGAATATCCAACTATATAGTAAACAGTAAAGAACAGAGTTTCACGATAGCAAAATGTATTCTTAGGTAACCGACACAATCTTGCTTTCAAGTATACTTGGTAAAATCTTTCAACCAGTAGTATAACTACTGAAAAGTGTAATAAAATTAGGGCTGAAAAGAAACTAAACGGAAGCAAACTTTGAATATTAAGCAAAAATGAGAAGTTTAAAGAATCTAAATACATCATAAATTTGGGTCCTACACAAACTATAGATTTTTTGATGTCTCAATGATATTTTTTGTCTGAATGATGCTGCAGTTATCGAAAGCTACCAGATATGAAGTATGTCTAGGTAACTGGATTTCAGTTGTGAGTTGAAAAGATGACAAAATATGAGTTAAAACAGTTAGACACTTTACACAACACAAAGGAAAACACTCAGGGGTGTGCAATTCTCGCAATACAACTAATTAACTAAGATGCACTACAAAACCGTTCATTAAAAGAAGTAAATAAACGCACCTTGAAAATAGGACTTTTAACATATTTCTCGCCTCCTGAACTATTTCGTGACCTTTATCCTCTGTTTGCCAACGATCACGTAATATGTCTCTTGTTTCACCATCTAATTCACGAATTTTCTTCTCTGCTTCTAATATTACCTCATCTATATTTGCCAGTGATTGTTCACTGGGAAATCTCTGAAAAATTAATTATAATAGAGAAAACAATCGAAAAACTAACCTCATTAATGTATGTAATTACATTAAAATTTGGATCATCTAGACTGTCTGACTTTAAACTGAGCTTAGCCAGTACTTCTTCAACTTCTTTAGCATAAGCGCTTGGAAACTGAAAATCGCTATCTTGATTCAACTTGTGATGTACATCCATTCTGTAATTTAAAGATTTACAAAATTCATATGTGAAGTTCTATAAGAAGGTATATCACACTATAACACAGAACTTTGGATGTGTTAACTGAATAAGAGAAGAAGGGAATGTGCCGCTGTTTGCTACCTATAATCGCAGGTAAAATGCTAATTGACTGACTAACTGGTTTCAACATAGAACTTTGCACCGAGTCACCACACCCCATGTAGCACACAAAGCAATAGAAAATAAAAAGAAACGCAAAATAGAGACAGTAAACGGAGATATGAGACAAAAAGAAGAAGAATATAGAAGAACAGCATAGCTTTATTCGGTATTATAAGTCAAAAAGAGTGGATGCATCTGCACCAGACATTGACAACGATTTTGAGCCATATCACCGATTGTCTCCACATTGGTTCTTACCATCCCGAGGACTCTAACCAGTCAGAAAGTTTACACCTCCCTACGTGTCTGGCTTAAACTAACTGTTGTGGATTTCAGTGACTGATAAAGTCATGTCTTGGTTTGACCACCACTGGCTCTTTTCCAACCTGACCCTATGTCAGCTACCACTGCCCGTCGAGGAAGGCGATGGCTAAGCATGCGTAGCAAATGCCCTAACCATCTCAATCGATGCAGCTGCTTCACAACCTCGTCGATCAATTTTCCCTCCTTACCTTACACTTTACCGAAGCCTAACCTCATTATTGCTAACCGTATTATGCCACTTAACACGGTAGATAGAACGCAGGCACCTATGATCAAAGAAAACCAGCCTTTTGATGTCTTCCACTCTCAATGACCATGTCTCACTCACGGCCATAAAGGAGGACGGAGCGGACTGCTGAGCAGTACACACGCCCTTTGGTCGACAGCCGGATATCACGTCTACGCCAGAGATGGCATAAATTGGCGTATGCCTAAATAGCCTCCTGTATACGTGCTGAGATTTCGTCGGAGATCAACCCGTTGGGGCTGATACAACTTCACAAATAGGTGTACGCTCTATCACTTCGTTCCTATTTTCAAGCTAGGAGTCAATGTAGTCCAGCCCTGTAGCATCAACTCACATTTCACAGAGAGCAAATCGCATACCAAACATTCGCAGATTGCAGCTCAAGGTGTTCAGAAAACTCTGCATTTTGTCAGCGTCTTCACCTAGAAGGACTACATCATTTGCGTATTCTAAGTCGACAAGATTATTTCCTGGTAACAAGCCAATCCCTGAGTTGCTGAAGTCACTTAGGATTAAGTCCATTAGTACATCTATGATGAAATTGAATAGAAATGGGGGTAGTGGGCATCCCTGACGGACACCACTGGTTGTCACCAGTTCAGATGACAACTCACCGTAAGTTTACGCTCCTATTAGTTTTACTTAATTAACTATTCACGATAGGTTCATATTACAGACCAGTTTACTAAAGTATGTCCGTATATACGACGAATGATGACTGTGAATAACAGTATGTTATAACGAGTTATCTCAGTATTTATTTGCGAACGCCATTCACTTGAATAATCTAATAATACAACCCCTATGTTTACATATACATACAAATAAGCAGTAAGATAGGTCTTAAACGGCTTTTTAAACAACGACATAAAAATTAATACGGTTCTACACTCTTATCGGATTTCGACCTAGATGAAAAGTTTATGTCACCTAATGCACTTAAACACCAATCTTATGAATTTCTTCGCGAGTCCATTAGGGATGTGCAGACTTTACGCCCACTATTTCAAACGTTAAGGTAATTGGGTGGTATCATTGCCCATCACATGACAGATGTAGCTGAATGATTGGTGAACAGACGTGTGACTTCTGAGTTGCACTCGTGGCTGGAAAGCAGTGAGATTGGTAAAATGTTAGATAAAAAGTGTGATAATAGTAACTTGTTTTTTACAGGTTACCATCATTCTAATTTATACTGCCCTCTGGAAAATGGTTGTTTCTAAAAGCTGGAAATTTCACCGTTTCGTCCAAAGGACTCTTTTAAACACACTACATTTGACGGGATCGTCAACAAACTGACAAGTGTTCTGAGTAAGTCAACGGTGTTAGAGGGATCACATTAAAGTAAAGCAACTGGTCTTTAAAATGTTTTGATTAATCATCCAGATAAGAGTGAACGAGTAGCATCTGTTTTTCTCCGCCTTTTTAAGGATGACTTATTGAGAAACTTTTGTCGACCATACATTGAACAATCTTAACAAGAATAATAAATGGAGATGATCACATGTCAGCAACCGAATACACGATTACGAACCCGGCTGTAATATACTTTTGTTGTATGTTGCACGTGATGATCCAGACCTTGATAAACCAAGCAAGATTAAAATCTGTTACCTACTGATTCGAAGCTGAACCAATGAGCCTGCTTAAACAACTGGGCTACCTAGATTTCCATTCGGTATAATGCACAAACTCTTCTGCACTTCGTATTGTTTTAGTCATCTAACTGTGTTTTTAGGATCGCTACGTGAACCCGTACGTTTAAGTTTGCTGTAATGAAGAGCACTTCTTAACAGAAATGAAGAAAAAGAATCGTAGAGATTTGGATACTGCTTCAGATGGAACAACACAGCGCCACACGACGTACTGTCAAATACCATTTTACCTGAAGATACTGTACGAAGAGTAGATATTTTTACAATTTAAATACGCTGAATTCTGTACTATATGTTAACATACTGCCTACAGTAAAGTGGATGATAGTACAGCTATTGATTGTCTTTTTTCAACCATAATGAACAATCGATGATGACTATACTAAAGGGTGAATTTAACTTGAGTATAAAGAAAAATTACTTTCCAAGAAACATACGAGATTTACACTAACTAGTTGTATGCAATAATTGGCATTCTGCTCTTTTTTAAAACATTTTAGGCATAGCTTCAAAAATTGTCATACCTCACTGCTAATGATATATGATATAATGGAATAGTACATTCAATTATTTAAAGATGATCATACATCTTGTGGGCTTGGATACTATGTTATAGAAATAAAATAACAGCTATCCATCTGCGAAAGTTGAAAAGACTTATTTGATACTTACACTTTCTTACTTTAGATTAGCCAACAAGATACGGATTCCGAAGTCCCTGCATAAAAATGTTAGCTTCATAACCAAAGTCTTCGATGTCAAAAATTACTCTGCAAATCCTGCTACAATTTAAACTCAACACCAACCGCAACACATATGGCATAGAAATTACCATACTGGTAAATTTTCTATTAGGCTGAGAGTTAATAAAGTCATAATTAGCCACCCAACCTCTAAACTGTAGGTCCCAGGTCTAGACCCATATCAGTGCACAAATACGCAGAAGATAAGCTAGACGCGTCTTAAAACCTACTCATCAGCCATCACAATTGACAGACTAGTACATAAAAATTTATGGCAGGTTACTGGCTCTTTAAGCCTAAATTAGAATATCAGAACACTTATCTGCCCTTTACAATTATTCATCATGAATCAGAAAAATTCCTAGTTGCAGTCCATGGATTTTTAGTAATAAGTGAGTGGAAACTGTCAATAAAATGACCCGAAACGGTTCAAAATGGAACGCACGTGTTTACAACTTAATATCTGCACAGTCGTCTAATTGTTGCTCCATCCGTAAACTTTCGCAAGCGTCCTGCGTTGATAAGATAGCAATTGACTAAATAAGAGGTTTCAGTTGCCAGTTTAAACTGAGCAAACTAGTCAGTTAACAAATACAGACAGGCGGGACTTATCGGCAAAGTGAAAACCAGTATGGAACAATAAGACTACCACAGTTTGATAATCACTATTGAAGTAAGATACAAATCAGATAAAAAACTGCCTCGTTAATACCTTAAAGAAAAACTTTAAAATTGACGAAGCATCCCCAGAGAAATAAGCGACAATTCCCATGGTCCGTACTGTAATTAATAAGAAAGATTTGCTAAGTAACCCTGAATAAGTATACACCGCCTACATCTCTCCCACCAAAAATGGGTACTCCACTATTTCTAATAACGTATGACGACTTGAAAGCGTGAGATTACTTTTAATCAAACACTCAAAAGTTACGAAAATTACCAAGATTATATCTTACAGATCTCATTACTAAGGATTATGAGATTTGGGACATCCAGTGTAAACTAAACAAGCTTGATGCCGGTATAAGTATTCTTTTAAAATACCATTCTGCATTACAAATTAAACGCAACACATAAGGTAAATATTTGAGGAATTCAACATTAAATGTTGACTATTTGTGTATAGAAATTTTGATTATATGCAGGAATAACAATTTTCAAGCGTATCTAAATAGGAGTTACAGTACAGTGACTGAGATTCCCGAAATAGCGAAAACACCAGTGGGGAATGATTTGCACAGAATAGAATGAAATTTTTAGCTGTTAAAAATATTTCTATTTTCGAAGATAAAAAATCCGTCTCCGAAAGTGCTCATATCAGAATCAAAAGGCGGCTAAGTTAAGCTAAGCATCGAAGGAGAGCAACCGCACCAGTGATCTTCGAACGCTTAGTGAGCAAGTTAGAAAAAACAGCGCGAATAACACTATAATCTTGAGTAGAACATAATTAATGAAATGTTATACTAAACATATCTGGTATGTTTAAGGTTACGTTTTGGAGAGATTCACTTAAAGTGTAGGCTTAAGACAAGATGTGATCATGCTGACACAATAAGATAGATAGTAGGGTCGGTTTGAAATTAGAGCCTATTTATGGGTAGTTTCGTGTTAAGGCTACGATTAGGACTTAGACGAAAACACGTTAAGAATATGGTTTATCTACTCGACTGACACTCCAGTGTGAAATTGGCAAGAATGTGTCAAACGTCACGGAAAGGCAACCTTCGCAACAGTTTTATCCAATTTTATTCAGCATTTTCACAAGTATATGAATTTTACACCTAAAAATCGATTTTTCAAGTGATTGTTGCTTTCGAGCTCATTAGTGAGTCACATTCCCCCAGTGCTTAAGGCTTCAATACATCTTAAATGAGTCAGACAGTCAGGAACCATTTTTGAATCACTATGCATGTGATCCCTGTTCAAAAAAAAATAGGCTTAATAGTTCATGGCTGCGTTATGTATGACTTAAAAGCGTTTATCGGATTTTCATTTGAGGCTATAATGTCCCTCTTTATCAACTATATTTTTAACATTAATCTCACCTTTTCAAAAATCTAACCTAAGTGAGAACTTTCTACGAATAGTCACAAAATTTCCAACATCCCACAAGTAGGTGACCCTGAGAGTCTAATGTACAATGTTCCAATATCCAATATATCCAATATCGTTTTTACGGGCTAGTATAAACCAATTTGATTTCTTTGTACTCGCCTCTTGATTGTGAGGTAGAGGTTCCTGATCTTCGGTAAACTTCTGCGTAGCTCGTCCCGCCACTCGACTGCCGTAGCTTTGGTTGACTCCAGAAGGAGTAGTGCAGGGATTAATTATATGTGGTTTGTAGTATGAGGTGTGTTAAGACTGTTACTACTGTGAACGGAGTTGATCCTTTCACCAGTTGGTCCTTCGGTATCGTCGTCAGTAGAAAAGAGACAATAATAATAGTAATAATAATAATAGATATAATTAGTGAAGGTATTCAGACTAACAAACAGAAAAAGAATAAAAAAAAACGTAACAACAGTTAGTTCAAGTACTCAATATCATTCTAATATTCAGGTTCAGATTTTTGTTTGGAAATAACTGGATGTCTCGAAAATTCTCTCTATTTTTCACTTCATTACAGGTGTATATAAAGTAGCTAACATCCCAATGGCAGTTCCAATAAATACCCGAGGTTATCCACAGCTGTTATTGTGCAACATTTTGTCTTGAATTCTATGTCATGATTTACATTGACATTTAGATATATGCGCAGCCCGCTTAAAAGGAGTGGCATTTCCTCTATGCTGTTTGACGCAACCAGCATGATCGCTGCATAATTTCTGTGTCCCGTTAAGCATCTTCATGATGTGTACATCTCAGCTGCAACAGCCTTTGAGCAACCAGTGTGTCAATGATTATCAGCAAATTCTGTGTGCCGCAAGGGTCGAATTTATTCACTGCTTGTGAAACCCTAGGGTTTATTTGTTTCACTGCGTGCAAGTGCCCACGCGGAAGTCGCTGAATTTTCATACATTCAGAGTAAAATGAGAATGTGCTTTAAAAAACAGAGAGGGTTGAGATTCAATAAAAAGCCGGATCCACACAATGCAGAACACGAGTTTTGACTAAACTGCCGAGATGCCAGAAGCCTTTTACTAAAATAGTATTAAATCTGCCTGTTGTTACTATCAACACTGATGACACAAGGTCTAAACCTTGTAATGGTTAAAACATAGGTGACTTAAGGTAGTTTTTATCTATTTCTTAAATGAAAAGGAGATATTCCTATCACACAAAAGTTACAATAGAAAACAATTATCATATGAAGAAGGACAGAAGAAGTATCCAACAGTATTAACAAAAAGAACAAAATAATCAGTCAATTCATTTACATACAAATGAAAGGACAGAAGACAACAGTCATCCAAGGTCAACGTCGAGTTGCGTTATTTTACATTAAAATGGCTGGTGGTCACATGATAATTCCGGAAGACAAGATCAGGCCACATTAACTGACAACCTGTCATTCAGTTTGTCTATCTGTCATGATTAACACTAAGCAAGTTGAAAAGAACCGGTGGCATAGTGGTAGTATGCTCGGTGACCACGTATGTGGTACGGCGTTCGATCCACGACCGGCGCACTCTGTTACCTAACTACGTCAGTAATAAGAGTGATATGGTGAGTGATATGGAGGGAAGGGTAGGCATGAGGCTACCAACCACATCCCGTAAAATAGATTCCACTGCTACCAAAACTTCAAACCTATAACTTGAATCAATATGTTCCACTGGGAACGTAAAGGATTAAAAATGATGAAAAGAAATCGAGATACTGATTGGACAGAACATGTATGGAGTACTTTAGGAGAATTGTGTTGGTCAGATAGAAAAATGAGAACAGATGTATGCCACACCAATGTAAACGGAAAGTCTGAGCCTGGTGAGGAGAAAGGCAGAGACAAATCTTCTATAAAGTAATTAAGCGAATTAGCATAAGTGGAACTTTTGTAGTACTAGTGAACCCCTTTAGGAATAGCCTGCCCCCTCTACCGATGTACTCTTATCTAAAGCTCCCGCTGGAAGTTGGAAGTCAGTGCAACCGCCACCAGCTTGTCTGACAGTGCATTACTTAATTTTGAAATTAGCCCTTGCATCTGCTACTGCTCTCTGACACTTTTATTAGGATTAACCCAAGGGTTACCGCAGTCCCCTTTCGATAAAAAGTCTCTGTTCTGAAGCTTTGGTTTATACACTGTTTTTACCTATATGGAAGGCTGCCTGTACTTCTGCTCAGTCTGTTCACATACGGTCAGATTTGCGTCTCTTTATAGGAGTGGTGCAGCGATGTTTTAGAATTCTGAATGTGGCCATAAATATGTTTTGTACAACCACGTGGAAACTTCAGGTGTGAAGCCTAGGTGACTGTGTATGAAATGAAGGGTCTTGGCAGTACAGGCTTCATTTCCTTCACTGATTGATTTTATATCGGATTGGTACAAAACTGAGGAAATGTGTATATTGGTCAGATGCCTTACGAATAGAGCAAGACGTATTTGTACAGATGACTCCCTAGAAAATGAGCTAGAATATATCCAAAATACGCTGGTCCAAATGGGTTATCCTAGTAGACTTGTTAGGAGACACATGAATACCAGGTACAACAAAGAAAAACTGACAACAGTTAAAAAGAAAGAACTGTTCATGAAACTTCAGTTTAATGGGGACGTGGCTAGTGAAGTCTTACATCTGAGATTATCGAGAGCGATAAAACGGACTTATACTGCCGCCACCCTTTGTTTGTCATTTTCCAGCCGACCAATATTGATTGCTCAAGTGAAAGATAAGCTACCTAGTTGTGCCAATGTGTATCTATAAATTTAGCTGCTCCTGTGGGGAAAGCTATATAGGGCGAACAACTAGACAGCTCAACAAACGCATTAATGAGCATCTTCCTTCATGGTTCGGAAAAGGTCAAATAAAATCTATAAGAAGTTCTATTTTAGCTTACTTGATTGATAGCGGTCACCAAGTGGACAAAAATAGTGCTTTCAAAGTTATCTATCGTATTCCATCGAGTCTTTCGAATGGAATCAGAAACCGTCTTTTACACCTAGCCGAAGCTATGAGAATTCGAGAGAACAATCCTAGTCTTTGCATACAAAAGAAGTTTGTTCTACCTTTGTCTCTCCCTTGGCCTAGATGAACTGTATTCAAAACCCTCCCACCCTTTCTTATTTTCCACCTCCTTTGTACTTTTATAATATTTATTTAAACTCTGATTATCGTTCCACTTCACCTTTTAGGATTTGACCCAATTTATTTATACACTTATATACACATACTATCTTTGTTGTTCTTATCACCTGCATAAACCTTATTATCAATATTTTGTTATCATTGTAATCATCGTTATTAACTACGTTCAAAACATTTACCACATTATTATTAAGACTATTAAGATTATTATTTGATTCCCAAAATCACCGTCATTGGTTAAAATTTTATATATGAATCTATGTAAATTAGAGTAAAGCCTGAAGAAGATCTAATTGAAAACAATATTGTTCGCTTATATTATCCTTATATGTCAATAAACGGGATGCACTGGACCGTAACTGAACCGTTCGCGATTTAGTCTCTGCTCACATTTTGTTTGATGTGATCATCTGGCAGGCTTTCCACCACTTGTGACGCTGTTGACGTCAAGGCCACAGGTCTAAATCTCGTGGAATTTTGAGAGCTTTCCACTTTTTAGAAATGGGTGATAAGACAGGGCACTTAAGACCACTGTGTAACTGATGTCCACAAGGAGGAATACTAGGATAGGTTACTTATAGGGACAAGTGGGGCTGTAGCGCACCACTTGAGAACTGCTGATTAGATGGTTTCGTATCTTACCGAGTTTTCCGTATAGAGATTTTTGAATATCTGCAAAACGAAACTTGGAGATGCTGTAGAATTGTAATTTCAACAGTATGCGCTTGTGCCTTGTACTGCATATGTGTACGAATTTTGCAATGCGGATCGTTATGAGATGCGTTTCGAATACATTGCCAGTTTCATCAGTCGTATATACACTGCCTTATGAATCTCCACCATGGATGATGGTAGATGCATTCGCCTTAGTCAACGTCTAGTTTGTAGTTTTCTGCCTGGGCGCGCCTAGAATTATTTCTATTTACTTCGAACTTAAGCACGGCTCTAATTTCATTTTTTTGGTTACAGGATTTCATCATGAGCTGACATCGGTTGGAGAACCATTTGAAAACCTGGGAGTACTGGACAGCTGTTTCGTCCTAGTTTGGGACTCTTCGTGACAACGCACTAACCGGGATTCGAACCAAGGACATACTGGGTACAAAGCTAGCGAGCTGGTAGACCATTAAGCCACTAGGAGCCGATCCAGTGACTAATCCATGAATTACAACTTCTTCCAGTTTGTGACATAGCGCGACCGCTAGCATTCTGTGTGTATCAATCTAGGAACCGTGTATCATCTTCCTTCTTACTGTAACACTCAAAAGCAACAGCCACAACCAACGAAGGAAGAAGACGAAGATGTGGGAGGAAGGTCTTTATTTCCGCCACGCAAGGCTTGAATTGCCCGGGTACAAGCTAATTGTCGTCCCTTATAACAAGTTTTGACAAACGGTCTTCTTCTTGCTCTAGCAAGGCCACATAAGAGTTCCTGTCTGAAAAAGAAGAAATAGGAAACTCATTTAGTGGCATTATATTAGTTTTTTCTCATTACATTACCTGTGAATTTGTTCTGCTTGTCCATTTCTGCAGAACGTTGTCTGCACAGTGACTGTAACAAAGATCTCCACGTTTGGTATGGCTATAACACACAGGCCATTCTATCTGTGATGTGTCTATAACTTTTAACACTTAACGACAACCATTGCCTTGTTAGAAAGACTACTGGCAACGCAGTGTGTCAGTACACAGGTTAGGAGTTGGTTGTCTTAACATCAGTGGTGGTGTTGCTTATTTTGTCCACAGCTGTAAAGAAATTTTAACAAGAGGTGTGGTCGGCCTGTGTTTCCTGTTGAAAGTCAAAACGCGCCGAGTGTAGACGATCATAAATGTGTAAAGCACTTCGCCGGCGAGATCTACCATTGAGTCTTTCAGCTCCATTCGAGCAGACT